TCCCAGTTGCTTCCACTTTGTTATAATATCACTAACAGGTGACCGTGGAATATTTAGTAGCAAGGAAGTTTCACGGATGGACTTATTGCACAGGTGGCAACCTATCATGGTACCACGCTTGAATTCACTGAGCTCCTGAAAGCGACCCATTCTTTCACACATGTTTGTAGAAGCAGTCTGCATGCCTAGGTGCTTGGTTTTATACACCTGTGGCCATGGAGGCGATTGGAACACCTGAGTGCAATGATTTGGTAGGGGGTCCCAATAATTTTGACAATATAGTGTATATGAGATAAGGACTTTAGAGTGCAAGCTCCTTGAGGGCAGGGACTGATGTGAATTGTTGGCAATATCTAAATACCTGTAATAAAATATATTGCACATAGAAGTAATAGAAAAAGCAAATTATAACTTCTGTTCTGTGTCATATGTGAAGAGGAATGAACAAGTAAAAAGCTCCACTCCCTAGGAGGAACAGGCTTATCCCCATCCCACATACATGCATATAAACTCCCCCACACCCCCAAAAAAAAAAAAAACAGCATTGCCTATCAGCAGACAAAATGGGTCAGGTAGAGATGAACAACATTCTGGGCCTATTCACACCACATCCAGATATCCACGCAGTGCACTGTGTTCTAGATCTGGTCCGGAAAACAGTGTCAATCTGCCCTTTGCACATCAGGACCTTCATTGCACATTCCCTTCTCTCCCATTGCAGGGGAATGTAGATAATGTGTAAAGCTCTCAATGCAAGGAATGCTTTAGATCAGGGGAGGCCAATCTTCAGTCCTCCGGCTGTGGTGAAACTACATACAAATCCCATGAGGCATTGCAAGTAGGGCTGCAACAACTAATAGATGGCAACTATTCTCATTAAATCGGGAGGAGGGAGATTTCATGCAATCGATTCGTTGAAAAAAAATAATTGGGCAACTAATCGATGAAAATAATAGTTAGCTGCAGCCTTAATTGCAAGACTCCGACAGCCACAGACCTATACTCCCAGAAGCAGGATGGGATTTGTAGTCTCACCACAGCTGGAGGGCTGGAGTTGGACGATCCCTGCTTTACACAGATCAGCATTACCAAATAATTATATTATTATTTTGACATAAAGAACACCTCTTTCTTATTATGAATAAGAAGAAAAAAAACTGCCAGACCTCCACTGTGTGACCCAAAGTATCCAGCACAAATTTCTGACCGACAAACACTGAGGGGTTTAAGGTCTTTACAGTGTCCTGTCAGACAGACTTGCAGCAAGGAGGAGGAATAATAATATTTGGGGGTGCTTCTGTTGTAAAGCTGACAGTCGGCTCTACAAATTTAAAGACTCCCGGTGGCAAAAGTCACCAGGAGTCTTGTTTAAACAGCCCCGATGCTGGCGACGTACACTGTACGTCGTCAGTCACGAAGGGGTTAAGTAATGTTCAGGCCTAAAATGTGGCTTATAACATGTGTGCAAAAAAACAAAAAAAGGGTTAAAGGGTATCCATTGTCAAACACTAAACAGAAATCTGTATTTCTATACTGAATTTACATAAGTTCTGTCCCACTCCTAATAACCAGATCCATCTAGGAGGTTTATAAAAACTTACTGAATATGCCAATTGGATGTACTTTCTCAATGCACTGACACAATTTCACTCAGCCCTGTAAATATGCACTTCCTTGTGTCACAGCTCTCACAGACCTGCCATCTGAACTACAATGCCACATCTGACCAAAGTAACATTATCATTGCTTGCTGGAAGCAATGCATGATGGGCTATGTATTCTTGAGAAATTCAGACGGCATCACATCAAGCAGCAGGGAAAGATACAAAGCACACTGGGAGTACAGGAAGATGATGGGCAGACAGAAGGCGGCACTCGCTACATAGAAGGGATTTTTCTAGTAAGCTTTGATTGTATTATGAAAAACAAGTCTAGTATGTATTCCTATTACAATGCTGATGTTATAACAGGGTAGCCTGGGTGCAGAGACATATTATGTGAGATATTGTGCGAGTGCCCTTCTCTGCATCAGAGGACCGTCTAATACAGGCGGAGAACAGAGAAGAGGACCCCATACATGACTAGCCAGAAGACTCCCAGGTGCTAGGAAGGGTTTTTAAATGGACTGGAGAAGGGAGAGGCTGAGGAGGATGGTATACATCCCCAACATGAAACTCTGATTTAAAGGGGACCCCGTCACCAAAGAAGGTATAAGACATAGAAAAATCAAATATTTAGATGCTTATTTGCAGTAGTTTTCCTTTCCATAATGTAGTATTACTTGCAACGTACCTTTGAACCCTCTCCCCTTTCTGGAGTGTCCGATTTCTCTCTGGGCTTGCCCAGCTCCATCTCCCTATTAAAAAAAACCTTTTATGTACTAGACAGAGGAGTGAAGGAGAGTACAATAGATCAGGGGTGGGCAACCTCATCACTACAACTGTGGTGAAACTAAAATTATGCCCATGCCTGTGTCTTGCAGTACCACAACAGCCGACGTGCCAAGGTTGACTATGCCGGCTATAGAGTGACAGATCTGCTGACATCACATCCAAGATGGCAGTGCACAGCAGCAGTCAAAGGGCTTTTGGATGTCAACACAAAGGAGTGCGATGGACCGCAGGCACCCCGATTGGGTGCCTCCCGTCACTATGTAGCTTCCCCTCTGCTGGTACCCGAATTCTAGAATCCCCAGCCCAAACATTGGACAGAACCAACATATCAGGACAGAAAAATAGACTCCCAAAATAATAAATATTTACCCCCCAAAAATCAAAGTGAACAAATGATGCTGCAGGCCAATCCATTGTGCTGAAATTTCATTGCAGCAACACAAAATGGTACTCAGTTTGTATGGCCCCCACATGCCTGTATGGATGCCTGACAATGTGAGGGCATGCTCCGAATGAGACGACGAATGGTGTCCTGGGGCATCTCCTCCCAGATCTGAACAGACTGGAGGTGCAACCTGGCGTCGTCGGATGGATCGAGACGTAAGGTCCCAGAGGTGGTCTATTGGATTCAGGTCAGGCGAGAGTGGGGGCCATTCAATGGTATCAATTCCTTCAGCTCAAGGAACTGGCTGCATACTCTCGCCACATGAGGCCGGGCATTGTCGTGCACCAAGAGGAACCCAGGGCCCACTGCACCAGTGTGGGGTGTGACAATGGGTCCAAGGATTTTATCCAGATACCTAATGGTAGTCAGGGTGCCATTTTCTAGCCCGTAGGAGGTCTGTGCGTCCCTCCATGGATATGCCTCCCCAGACCATCACTGACCCACCACCAAACCAGTCATGTTGAACGTTGTTACATATAGCATAACGTTCTCCAGACCCTTTCACGTGTGCTCAGGGTGAACCAGCTCTCACCTGCCAATTCTGGTGTTCAATGGCAAATGCCAATCGACCTCCGGTGCCGGGCAGTGGGCACAGGGCCGACTAGAGGACATAGGGCCCTCAGGCTACCCTCATGAAGTCTGTTTCGGATTGTTTGGTCCGAGGCATTCACACCAGTGGCCTTCTGGAGGTCATTTTGTAGGGCTCTGGCAGTGCTTCTCCTGTTCCTCCTTGCACAAAGGAGCAGATACCGGTACTGCTGATGGGTTAAGGACATTCTACGCCCCTGCCCAGCTCTCCTAGAGTAACTGCCTGTGTCCTGGAATCTCCTCCATGCTCTTGAAACTGTGCTGGGAGGCACCACAAACCTTCTGGCAATGGCACATATTGATATGCCATCCTCTTGAGACTGTGCTAGGAGGCACCACAAACCTTCTGGCAATGGCACATATTGATGTGCCATCCTGGAGGAGTTGGCATGCCTGTGCAACCTCTATAGGGTCCAGGTATTGCCTCGTGCAGATATTCAATCAATGCAAGCAGACCATCCCCTCCCCAATGACTTAAATCAAAGATTAGGGAGAGAGAAGACACATGTGATTGGATTATCTCCCGTGTGTCTATCATATGTTAAGTCACTCAGTGACATCTAGGGTTAAGTTAATCCCATTGTTAAATCACCAATGGGCAAATAGACTAACAAGTTCATTGGGCATTCACACCCTGTACCTATAATGGGCACAGGGCCACAAACATAATTCCAGGAGAAATATGCAGCATATACACTCCACACATAAACCCGGGATAATAGGTCCCTGTAACCCCAAGGGGGGTGTGTGCGTGTCTCCATAGTCCTAGGTCTATAGTCAGTAGGAAGGAGGCTAGCCCCCAGGCAACTCCAACAGCCCCAGTGACGGTTCAGTCCATCACAAGGAGTTTTAAAACACAGTGGGGGGAATTTATGAAAACTGAAGCAGGCAGAATGTGGAGCAGTTGCCCATGGCAACCAATCAGTTTCGGTCTTCAGTTTGTTTAGTTATGCTTTGAAAACAAAAGAACCTGATCGGTGCAGTTGCCCAAGGCAACCAGTTTTGATCACCCCCCTTAAATGCACATATAGTCTGATGGGAAGGTTGTTGAAGTGGATGGTCTGGTGAAAGGGTCACTCATGCTGCTCTATTCTCTGTATATGAACATGCATTGAATTGCTTTGTTATACAACTCCTTTAGATGGAAGCCCTCATCGGGTGACTGCCTACACCTGCACTTTTCACTATAGAAGTGCCAATGAATTGAAGTAGATGAGTGCGGAGGAGTGCTGTGTGTATAGGATGAATAGGAGCTGTAGACACACTAGATGATCTGTAAGCTGGCAGTGCACAGAGGTGGATGATGGCATTAGAGGCTGGTTCATACATCACCACCACCACCACCCCCTACACTTTGCCATCCCTGCAGCAATCTCTACAAGCCCACACCCACTCTCATTAACACCCACACTAGTGGAAAGTGACACACCGCTCATCTTCCCTGTGCCACCACCAGCGGGGGGGCACTTCATTGGCTGTCACATCAACGCCCTGACCGCGATCAGATGCCATTCATCGGTGCACCCACACCGCCCCAACGTTCTACAGGCTAGCCGGGCACCCCTCGATGTTACCTTAGCCATGCGAATCATCTTCTTGGCGATCTCCAGGTCTCCCTGGTGATTCTGCCCAATCTCGGCTATGATGAAACATGGCTGATCGCCGCCCACCTTACGGCCGGGGCACAGCTCGAATTCTAGTGGCATGGCGACTGCGAAGCTGTGTGTCCGGGAGACGAATGTCAGATGAATGCGGTGACTGAGCTAAAGTATCTCCCGCAGCCCGTGTCCAGCCTATCAGTGACGTGTCCCCAGAGCTGCCGCACCCCGAGCCAATCACAAGAGGCCGGGGAAGCATAAGCTCGGTCACCTGACCCATGTCTCACTGGCCACGCCCAGCCTTTAGTCACTACGGGAATACGGCACCGAGGATTCGGCTACCCTGGTGGTCACTATACGGGCAAGCACGTAGAGGGGGAGACGCTGCTGATATTTGGGGAATGCAAACATGAGTTTAAGGTTCCCTCACTTTGGGTCTATGCTGTCTGAATATGTGGCAGGCTGTATAGTCAGGTGATGTCAGCAGGTTCTACATATATTATTTATAGGATACCTCATATTATTATTATATGGGTTTTAAATAGCGCCAACAGTTTGCACATCGCTTTACAAAATGGGGGAGACAGATCAGTTACAATACAATTTCAGTACAAAAGGGTTAGGAGGGCCCTGCGCCTGGGAGATTGCAATCTAGACTGCTGGTAAGATCACACGGGAACCCCAAAGTAGCCGTTGGGCCTGGTAAACCATAAGGCCTCATTCACACTAAAAACGGCCGACACATACAGCTCAGTGCACGACCGTATCGGGCAGCTCCCGGGATGGACAGGTGCTCGGTGTGATGAGTACGCAGCTCCTGTCCTCTATGGGACTACGCGACCGTACGCCGCCCTACGCTCAACCGCGTCCGTGCGGGTGTCCCAGCTCGGACGCAGGCAGGATCCATCCTGCCAGCGTACGAGTACGGACACCCACACGGACGTGCAAGGCGGGTGAGCGTAGGGCAGCGTACGACCGCGTAGTCCCATAGAGAAGGACAGGGGCTGCGTACTAATCACACCGAGCACCTGTCCTTCCCGGGAGCTGCTCGATACAGTCCTGCACGGAGCTGTACATGCCGGCCGTTTTTAGTGTGAATGAGGCCTAAATGGTACGCCGAATATTTGGTGCACAGGACACTAATTTATGGAATGCTCAAAGTTGATGGGTTGGAATGGGAAGATGCCACTAGTGTGCCAAATGCTAGAAAACCATGTTGCACAAAAGTCACATGATCTGCGCCAGAGAACTGGGCATTTTATGGCCCCTAGGCAACAATCGGCCCTTTGGCTGTCCGGACACAGACCGAGTGGCAGTTCTGTCCGGACCGCGTTCACCGACCTGTGCTTGGTTATGGCTGGCTGACATAGGATGTGCCGGCCTCTGAGTCTGGTGCTGCCATAGCCCAGCACAGGCCCTCTCCTCTTCAGTCCTTGGTTGCTAGGGCCGCTGGCATTCTAGCAACCAATTATGTCAGGGGTCCACCTCCTCTGCAGTCATTGGTTGCCAGGACCACCGGGAGTCCTAGCAATAAGTGGCATCAAATGTGTTCTCCACCCCCAGCAGGACAGAAGAGTTTCTGTAGCCTGCTTCACCTCCTGCCTTCCACTTCTGGCCTAACAATTAAGTAGGAAAATAAGGTATGTGGGGAAAATATTACAAATGGGCACTACAATGGAGACAAAACCCAAAAGGGCCCATTCACACCAATTGCGATGCTTTCCAGAGCAGCAGCTGCTTCAACGCACAGCAATCGCTCACAAAACTTCCCCCTTCGTTCTGGGGCGTGGAGGTGCATTGAAGTCAATGGCACCGCAGCCACACACCCCTGCCCGCAGTGGGATCGGACACGTGGCAAAACATTGGCTGCGTTCCCGTCCACTGCGACGCAAAAAATAGAGCATGCAGCCTTTTTTGCATTTGCAGTGGACCGGAACGCAGGCAATGTTTTGCCAAGCGTCCGATCGCGGGGGAGGGGGGGGGGGGTGTGGTTGCGGTGCCATTGACTTCAATGCACCGCCATGCCCCAGAACAGAAGGGGAAGTTTTCTGAGCTATTGCTGAGCGTTCCAGTAGCTGCCGTTCTGGAACGCACCTCAATTGGTGTGAGTGGGCCCTAAAATGTAATGCTTTTTGTAAAACAATAAAATGAATACTGAGCAGAATGAAGTCTAGCCTGTTGGTTCGACCCTTCACCACAGTCCCAGTTTCTCATGTGGCTCCTTGAGAAAATGCATTGCCTACCCCTTGTAGGTTCCTCACGGTTCCTGCACCCAATAAACAATACGAGCTGCAACATAATAGTTTAGTGCACCAGTCCAATGCAATCATTGTGTAACCTGCTGATTGGGGAGCCCCTTTTGCTGAGATCTTCTGCACCTAGTGGTGAAACCTTTCTTGCAGAAAAATAATGAGGGGAATGTATCAAAACTGGAGCAGACAAAATCTGGGTCAGCTGTGCATGGCAACCAATCAGCATCCACCTTTCATTTTCAAATCTTAACGGAACAAACTGAAGAGAGAAGGTGATTGGTTGCCATAAGCTTGAGAATAAACTACAAGAATTCAAAATATTGTGGACGTATTTTAATTTTGGATAGAGTAGAGAAGGGTTCATTTGTGCTGTCTGTGTCCTGCTGGGGGGCTTTCCCTTCACTTCCTGTCCTAGAGGTGCAACAGAACTTGGGGATATGTCAATACCAACCAAAAACCATTTAGAAAACAGGAAAACGGGGTTGCAGACAGCAATACAAACGTCATAGAGGTATGTATTCTCCCCAAGTCAACACAAGACCTATATATGTTTTTAGTGCACTTGAACTTTATAAAGCTGAACACCAGGCAAGACTTTTTTTGCTTTTTACAGAGTGGATAAAAGCTGGAGCCTCTGTCAGCTTTACATTGCAGTTTATATTGCTGTTGGGGAGTGTATCTCTGTGTTTTTCAAACTTAACTGGAACACTAGGGAAGGGGGTGTGTCCTTTACTTCATACTTGCAAGTCCTTAGATGTGTCTGTGAAGGTTCTCATTCATCCAGGTCATGGTATATCTGTAAATAGTAAGTCAAGGCAACTGGACTTGCTGTATTTTTCTTGAAGACGTTCCAACCAGCTTTCTCAATTCAGAATGACTTGTACAAAAAAATTATCTGGGAATAAATATGGTGAATGTTGCTCCAATCTATATAATCTGTTAGTCCCAACCAGGTGTTGAATGCATTTGCATAATTGGAGTCTAGGAGGTGTTATTAACCTGCCCAGAGAGAGGTGTTAAAACAGCATTGTATGTGGCAGACAATAGATTCCCCACCTCTAGTCAAGCTTGGCTTCTCCATTTTTACATAAATGGTCTCTTTCACACCTCTTTTAAACCAGTCCTCCTCCCTGTCTAGGATGTGTACTTGACTGTCTTCAAAGGAGTGACCTTTTTCCTTTAGGTGTAGGTACACTCCTGAATCGAGCACTCCTCACTGCACTGGACTGCATACGCAATGTTGTTCATCTTGTGTTTTGGCGTTGGGTCTTTTAGCTTAACCAGTTGTTGCCTCAGTGTATTGCTGGGTTTAAAGCAGACAGGCATGTGTTATTTATTAAAAACCCTTCTGAGTTTCTCAGGCACCCCAGCTACATATGGGATGGCCAAATTCTTCCGTTTGTCATGCTTTTCACTCTCACTGGTACTCTTGGCATTCTTTCCTCTTCTTTCTGTTTTGACAAAAGCCCAGTCTGGATACTCACATGTTTTAAGGGCCCCTCTGAGGTGTTTGAATTCCTTTGTCTTGGCCTCTGTTCTGGTGGGAATTTTCTCTGCCCGGTGATGTAGAGTCCTGATGACTCCCAGTTTGTGGTCTAAAGGGTGGTGGGAGTCAAATAGCAGGTACTGGTCCGTGTGTGTTGGTTTTCAGTAGACCTCTATTTCCAGCCTCCTTCCCTCTTCTACTGTTACTAAACAGTCCAAGAAAGCCAGTTTGTTGTTTTGCATATCTTCCCGCATAAACTTGATGTTATGATCCACTGAGTTGATATGGTCAGTAAAAGCCTGTAACTCTTGTTTGTGAATCTTGACCCAAGTGTCATCCACATATCTGAACCAATGACTGGGTGTAATTCCCTTGAAGGTGGTCAGGGCCTTGCTTTCTACTTCCTCCATGTACAGGTTCGCCACAATAGGTGAAACTGGCGATCCCATGGCACAGCCATGTTTCTACCTGTAGAACTTGTCCTTGTACTTGAAATAGGTGGTACTCAGGCAAAGGTCCAATAAGGCACACACTTGATCTGTGTTAAGTTCTGTTCTGCTGCTTAGGGTGTTGTCTAGTAGCAACCGTTTTCTCACTGTTCCAATTGCCTCTGTGGTGGGTATGCAGGTGAAGAGGGATGCAACATCATAGTTGCGACTGGTTGCGACTAACAGGTTATGTGGATTGGAGCAACAGTCACCATATTTATTCCCAGATAATTTTTTGTACAAGTCATTCTGAATTGAAAAAGCTGGTTGGATGACCAGTGAAAAAGAAAAATACAGCAAGTCCAGTTGCCTTGACTTATTTTATACAGATATCTTTAGATGTGGTAACTGCATCTCGCACCCTACACTCCACTGAAACCGCCCTCCTAAAACTCAATAATGACTTACTAACAGCTAAAAACAATGGCCACTATTCCTTACTCTTGCTATTAGACATTTCTGTTGCTTTTGGCACAGTTGACCACCGGCTCCTCCTCAAAAAACTCCACTTGTTGGCCTACAAGACTCTGGTCTCTCATGGTTCTCCTCCTACTTATCTAAGCGCTCCTTTAGTGTCACCTACAAATCTAACTCCTCCCCTCCTCTTTCTGTAGGGGGTCACCCAAGGCTCTGTCCTTGGACCCCTTCTCTTCTCTACCTACACCACCTCCCTTGGTCAGTTGATCACCTCACATGGCTTCCAATACTATCTGTATGCCGATGACACTCAAATCTATCTTTCTACTCCACAACTCACCCCCTCAGTGTCCTTGCATGTCACTAATCTACTAACTGACATATCCGTCTGGATGTCACAACACTTCTTAAAGCTCAATCTTTCAAAAACTATCATGATATTTCCTCCTCCCCGTGCCCTCAACTTTTCCCTTGAGATTGATAACACAACTATCATACCCTCCCCCCATGCCAAGGTGCTAGGTGTCATCCTTGACTCGGACCTCACCTTTCTTCCCCACATCCGATCACTATACAAATCCTGCCGCCTTTACCTACATAACATCTCCAAAATACGTCCCTTCCTCACCAATGAAATCACAAAGTTACTCATCCACTCCCGTTATCTCCCGTCTTGACTATTGCAACTCCCTCCTCATTGGCCTACTTCTACACAGGCTATCCCTTCAGTCTATCATGAATGCAGCTGCTAGACCCATTCACCTAACTAACCGCTCAGTGTCTGCAACCCCCCTCTGCCAATCCCTTCACTGGTTTCCAATCACCCAAAGGATAAAATTCAAAATATTAACAATGACTTACAAAGCAATCCACAACTCTGCCCCCGGATATATCTCCAACCTTGTCTCAAAGTATCACCCTATCCGTCCCCTCTGCTCTTCAAAAGACCTCCTACTTTCCAGCTCCCTCATCAATTCCTCCCATGCTCACCTCCAGGACTTCTGTAGAGTTTCTCCCATCCTCTGGAACAATTTACCCCCGCCTGTCCATCTATCTCCCACTCTGACTGCCTTTAGGCGATCCCTTAAGACTCATCTCTTCAGGGAAGCCTAACCCACCTCAACCTAACCACTGAACTATCACTTTCTCAAACAATCCATCCCCATACAACTACCTCCTAATGTATCACTTGCCCCTCCCTTTTAGATTGTAAGCCCTCACGGGCAGGGCCCTCCTTACCATCTTGTCTTGAATTGTATTGTGAATGTAATGTCTTCCTTATATTGTAAAGCGCTGCGCAAACGGTTGGCGCTATATAAATCCTGTATAATAATAATAGTTCACGGTAAGAAAGGTAGTGTCCTTGTAACTTCACAGAAAGCAGAAAGAACCTTGACTTTATTGTGTAATTTAGTAGTCAATCCATCCATCAATCCATCTTGGAATGCAGATGAACAAACCTTCTTCAGATGGCCCCCCTGGCTCTCAAAGCCAGCTTCCCGGCCAATCAGCATCGAGCCGGCCAAACAGCCCCGCGGAGGGGCAGGCTTCCGATGACCGCAATGCTGAACGGGCAGAAACATGCTCGTTAGACAAAAGAAGTGCGACCGTACAGTATAAACGGTCGCACGCCTTCCATACACTTTGCGATTATCGTACGATAGCGGGATTTCTCGCAATTATCGTACGATAATCGCACAGTGTATGGGCACCTTTACAGAAACCCAAATAGCTCATCACATACAGTGTAAGTGGCCAGTCATTTGGGCACTTTGTGGCGGGACGTACAGTGTACGCCTCCCGTCACAAAGGGGTTAATGTGTGTACATTTATTCATTTTTGTAAAAGCTGGACTATACCTTTAACTCTTCATTGCCTGTATAGATTGGGGGTGGGGATGAGGGTTTCACGCTACAGTATGTGCTAATTCAGAGGCGTGTTCAGTTGCTCAGCCGCTGTGAGTGCTGAGTAAAGGTGCACATACACTGCACGATTATCGTACGAGGATCGCGGGAAATCCCGCGATCGTACGATAATCGCAAAGTGTATGGAAGGCGTGCAACCGTTTCATAGGTTTTTTGAATTACTTTACAACCCTCGCAAGACAAAAGTCTTGCGAGGGTTGTAAAGTGTATGGCCACCTTTAGCAAACCTCCACTAAACGCTGTGCTGCAAGTCAGCGCTCAGCACTGCTAACTTAGCACTCGCAGCAGAAGTGAATGTGGATGCAGAGCGCTGAGTGTGATGGAGAAGGTGGGACAGAGCACCAGGGGCCATTTTGACTGTGGGCACAACTGGCACATCTGTAGAAAGGTGCCAGAACCATGATGGCGGAAATCACAGCGTGGGAATCTACAATTTAATGTTTTTCGGTGGACGAGCACACCAAATATTTGTTGGAAAAAGGTATTTATGAGTCAAAAATATTATCCTCCGCCATTTTGCTTGGCACTGTGCAGCCAAAACGTTCAGTGAAGCTGCTGCAGAACAGCTACTCAGCGCTTGGCTAAGGAACTGAACACGCCTGAGGTGTAGGCAACCTTGGCACTCCAGCTATGATGAAACTACAAACCCCATTATGCCTTTTGGACAGCCTCTGGCTGTCAGTCTTACAATGCAATCTGGGACTTGTAGTTCCACAAGAGCAGGAGGGCCAAGGCTGCCTACCCCGGTAAAAGTAGTGCCCTTCTCCCTGATCTCAGAACATTGGAAGGTATACATATAAAAGATGGTGATTTTCCTGATCTATGGCTATCACAGTAATGAAGCCAGGGGACCGGGATAAGAGTCAGCCAACTAGCTTGTTTAGAAAAAGATCTCAGCAAAACCAACCTCCACCACCCCCCCTTTCTCCATGTTAGTCTGCACCCCACCCTCCCTTCCTTGTTATCACATGACCCACAGTAAGAGTCAGCTGACGTGACACCATTTCCTGCCACACGATTGACGTTGGGCTCTATCTCCTCTTCCCGGTCTTCGTCATCTCCGGTGTCTTCTGTGGCTCATCGCTTTTGGCAGGAGTGTGACCGGGCAGGATCCGCTGGTGATATCTGTACAGAGCATTGATCGGCCCTCGCCTCCTGCCCACCATGTCCGAGTTCGATGTGTTCGGGAACGGAGTGTCCACCGAAGAGGACCCAGCCGCCGCCTTCCTGGCCCAGCAGGAGAGTGAGATCGCCGGCATCGAGAATGACGACGGCTTCAGTATCCTGGACAGCGGGGAGGTGCCAATCTCCATGCACGACGGGGATGTGGGTGAGTGCGGGGGATAGGGATGACAGCCCGTGTCACTGTGGGGCCGCCTCCCCTGCATTGGGGGGG